AACCAATTTTTTTTCTCAGAAGAAACCTACTTTAGAGAGAGTTTTGTTATTTATTAAGGTTTTTAAAACAAAAGTAGAGTAAGGAAATCCATGTTGATTGACGTTTTGCACCAAATGGACTGGAACTCAATGAAATTTCCCTCTTGTTGCCTCTTAAATTGATTTTTACGAGACGTGACTCCTTTAACAACTAAAGCTGGGATGTTTAATTGTACTTTTTTGTCCATCATGCATTGATTTGCTCAAAATGTTCTTCTTTTTTCTGCAAATGCACAGCTTGGTCCGTCCAGTGGTCAGATTGTCTCCTGCAGATAGAAAAGAGAATAACGGTGTACAGATGAGGATTACATCCTGATCAGTCAACCAATCTACCAATATTTAAAAATGCCCTGAAACTCAAGAGTAACGCGTTTAGATTTCAGGATAGGGGGATCGGTTTTCACAGGATTGAGTGCTAAGGGTGACGCCAAAGTTTGGAGCTGAACTGGCGCAGATGTAGAAAGCCGGTCATCTGATCTTTTTCATTAAGTAATTAGTCCTGGAGACCAGCATCGGTACCCGGCCAGGATGCAGTGTCGTTTGCATGCTGGTTTTGGAGGCAATGTTGCTTACAAGCCCATGAATTATTCATTTCCTTTCCCACTCCATAATCAAAGATGTATGCGGGTGGAACTGCTTGTCGAAATTACCCTCGTTTGGCTTCTTTTAGATCATGGTGCGAGTAAAAATGCAGGAATTCATCAGTGAATGCAAATAAATGGAAAAACTTTCAATTTGGCTGATTATTTTGTCAATCGCCAATGATTACCACCCTTTTTTCAGATTCCCACAAACACCCGTCTTTTTCAAGGTCGTTTGCCACTTTATTAGGTACACTTGTCCAACTTTAAATCAAATTTTGAACAGTGAATCACATGGCAAGAAGGCAGTAGATCGCAGTTGAAACTGGGAATCAAAATGGGGAGGACAGGTGACTTAGGTGACTTTGAACTCATCACATCTTCAGAAACTGCTGATCTGTGGGGGCCTTGTTGGTGGCAGAGGAGAATGGTTCGAGGTGATAGAAAAGCAACAGTAGTTACAATCGAGGTCTGCAGAAGAGCATCTCTGAACACGTTGAACCTAGAGGCGGATGCGTTCCAGTCCTGGCAGCTAAGAACAAGAACCTGAAGCTACACTTAAATTAAATAGACCCTTGGGTCTGATGGGTCTTGATTTCTGCTGCAAAATCCGGATTCTAGGGTCAGAATTTGGAAGCATGAATCCATCCTGCCTTGTATCAATGGTTCAGGCTGGTGGTGGTCATGTAATGTTGTGGGGGCTCTTTTTTTTGCACTCTATAGTACTAATTAAGCACCCCACAGCCTCCCAGAGTATTGTTACTGACCACATCCATCCCTATAAGACCACTTCCAGCAGGAGAACACTCAAATCTTACAAAGCTTGAATCAGCTCCGACCGCTTTTTTGAACATGACGATGAGTTCACTGTACTTAAATGCCCTCCACAGTCACCAGATCTCAATCCAGTGGAGCACCTTTGAAATGTGGTAGAGTTCACAGTTGATAGCAAGGTGTACCTAATAAAGTGGCCGGTGAGTGTACATAAAGATCTGTGGTATCTTTCCATGTGGGATTGTTTATATTGCATCCTAGAAACGCCTTTTTCCTATATTTGAGTCTGATTGGTCGTCTATTTGACAAGAGATAGGAACAAATAAACACCCCTCTGTTAACCAAACTACATTAAAGAGCTCGCAAAAGAAACGTAAATATTCTCCTAAACACATATGGACACAACTAGAGCGTCATCCTATAAATCAGCATGAAATCTCTTTCCTGCTGCTCAAACCCCTCCTCAAGGGAAACGTAATGAAGACTCATCTGCTAGTGACAGGGCTCTCCATCTCCCTCTCGTTTTCCATGGGAACATGCGGTTCCTCATACAAAAGAGCCTCGGTGCCTCAAAGTACAAGATAAACCGAGGATACACCAGTTCCATTTCTGAATCAGTGAGGCACTGGCAAATAATCTATATTTAGAGCATATGCAACCTCCTCGTGGCTGCGGACGAGAAGTTCCAATGCAGTGTAATGAACAGGTGGAGCGGCAGGAGGAGATATATAAATAATGCACGCTGAGAGGCCTTTATATAAGTGCTGTCAACTTGATTGCTGAAAGAATTACTTATGCTCGCAGGTTAAAACTGAAAACAGATGGCTCTTCTGTTGTAAAAGTGATACCAGGTTATTAAATACCTGATAGCCCATAAAATTGGTGTGGTGTGCTGTTACAGGGGTGGAGTGCGCTTACAAAAGGCGGTTGTTTCCTAGAGCAGGCCGCAGAAATGTGGAGATTTAAATCCTCTCGTACTTTTTACAGCCACGTTAACTGAGATTTTACACCACTGTAAGATGTGCTTTCATTGCCTTTCAAGCGTCACTCTGAGTTTTTACAGAAGCAGTCATTGGCTGCTCGCACCTCTGGTCACGTAAACAGTGGTGTCTGTTAGTTATTAATCATTATTCACCAGGTTTTAGCCAAGGTTTACTCGCTCAACTATGAAATGCAGGTAAACAGTGGAACCTAACCCCAAACCTGACCCCACACGACCAGAACTAAACCAGAAACACGACCAGAGTGTCCGCAAGTCACCATAGAAACCAGTAGTTACTATGAAGGACCAAAACAAACAAACAAACAAACGCCTGATTTTACCAAACCTTAAACGAAGTATTTTACTAATAAACTTCCTTAAACGAAGTATTTTACTAATCCAGTCGACATTCACATCCATTCAAACATAAACACAAGTGTATGCAGATTGTAGATTCACAAAAATCTCCTTTTACGTTTTGCACATGTACGTATATAGATAATGCAATATAAACAATCCCACATGGAACAACTCACCGGCCACTTTATTAGGTACACCTTACTAGTACAGGGGTTTTGACCCCATTTGTTGCATCAGAGCGCAGATTCAACAAGGCACTGGAAACATTCCTCTGGTTCATTTTGCCATGATAGCATCACGCCGTTGCTGCAGATTTGTCCCTGATGACTGGGAATGCATTGTCACGTTCAAGAAACCAGTCTGGGATGATTCGAGGTTTATGGCATGGAACGTTACCAAGAAAATATCACCATCAACAGTCTGAAGCGTTGATTCAAGGCAGGATGGATCCATGTTTCATGTTGTTGATGCCAAATTCGGACTCTACCGCAAGTGAAATCCAGGCAACATCTTCCAATCTTCTGTGCAACTTTGGCGAGCCTCAGTTTCTTGTAGCTGACCGAAGTGGCACTTGGTATGGTCCTCTGCATCCCATCTGCCTCAAGAGGTGCTCTTCTGCAGACGAGTTGTCATCAGCTTGAACTAGTCTGAACTCGTTCTCAGACCTGGTGGAAAATCCCAGTAGATCAGCAGTTTCTGAAATACTCAGACCAGTCCGTCTGGCACCAAGAGCCATGTCAAGTTCAGTCTCTTAAACTTCTGCATTCTGATAGAGTTGCTGCCGTGTGATTGGCTGATTCAAAATTTGGTGTACCTAATAAAGTGGCCTGTGCGAGTATAATACAAAACAATAAAACTTGTTGTTTACATGTCATGACTTGAGTATTAAAGGCATTTTTTTTTGTTTAGGAAAGTACATTGCAATTAAAAGAATGTCCTAAATTTAAGTAAAAACAACATTTTTAAACGTAATTGGTTCTAATGTCCCGAAGAAGGCGTTGGCCAACAAAAATAGATTTCCTGAGGAATTAATCAACAGCAGACAGGGTTATATATGGACATTGTGCCCACAGAGACAGGATTGGTGGGTCAGATTTCTCTAATGCATGCAGGACATTTGAGAGAAGAAGTGCACAAAAAAAGTTTGTACAAACAAATTGAGTTTTGTCAATTTAGTCATTAATGAATCATGTTTAATCTAGTTTAAATAAATCTTTTCATAATATTCCTGCAATAGTTATACAGCTTCATACCCTTGGCTTCACCTTTACTTCTCAGAGTGACCCTAGAATAAAGTGCAGTGCAACACCTTTTGCAACCTTTTTTATCCTTTAAAATAATAAATAAGCTTTTATGTAAACTAATAACATATATTTTAACTTGTGCAACTTAAAACAAACAAAAGGTTGCCCCAATCAACAAAGATGGAAACCCTTTGACAGAAAACAACAGCGATGCTCAACCAAGATCAAGAAAATAAGTCTTAGTTGGAAAAATATGAATCTTTTCAATTACAAAGCACCTGTTGAATGTGCTGCAAGTTACGTTTCAGAAAATACACAAGTTTTAAAGCAACACGAGAACATCAGCGTCGATCATTCCAAACCTTCCTTTCTTACCTTAAAGCGACGTCCTCCTTTCCCTCCGTGAGCTTGAGTGATGGGTGCTTTTTCGAGAAAACAGGATTGAGTCATCAGACATGCAGCATTTTCCTTAGACGCTTGTCAGATGGGGGCCGGCCGGTCCCTCTTTGAGACGCATAATTAGGATGCAGGCTGAAGAAAGGACAGCGCAGCTTGATAAGGCTTGGCATGCAAATGGATAAGGAGACAAAGAAACAAGCGGCACACGCAGAGGAGAGGGAGCGAGAGAGGAAAACACTATATGTTACACACACCGCAACACTTTCTGCTTTAAGTTTCGGGTGTCATTACAGGGCCCGCTGCTCGGGGGTTGGTGGAGGCAGTCGAATACATTGGAGAAACAGAGGCGAGAAGAGAAATGTGCGATTGATGCTCAGCAGTTCAAAGGCCTTTGCAAACCCTCTTATCTTTCCCGCCACAGAGCCCCTCAGATAAAAGAGAGCGCGGAAAACACTGGAAGGAAACATGGATCCTGGACTTCTGCGTCCACCTCAGACCAGGGACACCTCTCGACTACGGATTCGGTTAAAGTTGCCACCATTTAAAGGACGGTTCCTTTGGGTTTGCATTTTGCAGCCGCTTTTATCCAAAGCGACTTACATTTGAAAGAATAAACTTATTTTTTTGTCAGGGATTTTGAACCCACGACATTTGCGTTTTTAGGGCACCGCTCTACCAACTGAGCCACAGGAAACCTGTTAAAATAAAAACACATACGGCTCTGTGTAAAAGCTTTAGGCAGGTGTGCAAACAAATAAAGCTTTCAGAAATAAAAATAAGAAATATTTTTGTAACTGTACGACATGCCAACCAAAGAAAATACAGATTTGGTTGATTTATATTCAGTTGTATGATCAACCTATGATCCAAATAGGTTCTAAGTTTCGTCAGTGTCATTTGTAAAACCCAGTCATGACCTGAAACAAAAACAACTGTGTATGAGGTTCAAAACTAAGTGCGGAACAGCCAAATCTGCAAACAAGGAGAGGTTTAGAAATTCCTGTCATGTCACGATTGAGCACAGCAGTGAGACACAAAGTAGTTCCTTTGTTTTTTAATGGTTTACAACTTTTAACACCAAGTTCATTCTTAAACGCTCACAGCTAAAAAAATATGTATAGAAATGGTTAGCCATATATATATATATATATATATATATATATATATATATATAGCATTTTTTCAGCTTATTATTGAATTGTTTATTTTTTTCTTGTAGCTTTTATGCAACACCTTTTGCGTATGTATGGCACAGAGTTCATTCCATAACTTTCACACAATAAATTGAATTGCATTCCATATAAATATAAACTCGCAGGCTGCTTAGAAGGAAATGTAGATTTTGCAAATGTAACAGTGTTAAACCATTTCTTTTTATTATTAAATAGTTTATTTTTTCTTGTAGAACTTATGGCACCAAATTGCACCAAATTAATTCCATAACTATCATTCAAAACACGTCTTGACATGTTTCGCAAATTTAATGTATATTTTGTTATTTCAATTGAGCTGAATTATGCAGCAAATATATTTATTTGGAATTTTAAATCAAATGTTTTTTCCTGTGGCTCTTTATTTACTGCAAAATTCTTTTTACGACTTATGACACCAAATTTATTCCATAACATAGCGAGGGTCTGCTGCTCTCACATTTCCGGGTCAGACAGCGAGTAGAGATGAGCTGTATCAGCGACAAATCTGATAGGTGGGCGGTGCTAAGAACTACGGGTGTGGCAAAGAACATCGAGTCGTTTTCAGCTCACATAAAGGAATACAGGATTACAAGATTCTGAATAAAACTCGTTTTTGATGAGGGAACAATCCTAAAAATGGCTAGGAATGTCAGAAAAGTCGATTTTGCATATTATGGCCCCTATAACAACGGCATTCCATAAAGATAAGTGCAAGCAGCTTAAATATCATTGACTTACCTTCTAAAATCACAGCAAAGATTCTTTGCAAATATTTTCGAAGCAATTGTAATACGAGAATCTTCAGCATTTTTCTGATACAGTAACATAATGCTGATACTGTATTTACATGACATTGATACATCACTTCACAGATTTGATCAGACATAAAGGCTGTGCATCACTGGAGCTCTACAGCGGCCTCGTCTACAAGCGGAACGACAGACTAAGCAAAGACAGATGAGAGCCGCCATCAATCAGACTCTACAGAGAGGGAAACTCCATTCTATTTTAAGGCCTGGCGCTCCTAGAGGACAGCAGGGTCTCTCCCTCTCCTGCTCATCAAGCCCCATGGTGCATCACATTCAACAAGCCTCCAAAACAATCCTGATGAAATGATCATGGTGAATAATAAAGATTGGCCAAATAAAGTCACTGCCCTAGAGTGCAAGAAGGGGGTGCGTTTTAATCAACACTCTCAGTGGGTCACAACTAATAATATGCAAATAGGTTTAAAAATAAAACTGATTCTTGTGAGAGGAAGAAGTTTCCTTTGAAACGTTTAGCCAGATAAAAACGTCTGATAGTTTATGTTTTACGGGGTTCCCAGATAAAAAAATAACTCATTTACAGCATAAAATAACTTCCCATTTCCATTTAGAGTTAGAAAAAAAACCCACCCAAAAATGGTGGGTGGAGGAGGGGTTAAACTGCACATTTTGGGGAAAACGACAACGTCAATGATTGTTAGATCTACAGTTCACGCCACCCGACTCTGAAAACTTAGATGTCTGCCAAAAATAACAATGCCCCAAACTTCATCACTGCTCTAGACGTCATCAGCTCTTGGGGACGACTGTGATTACATTCTGTTTTCCAAACACCGCTTCAAATTCTCTCAAGTTCGTGTTAGCCTGCGCACTTAGCAATATAACGTTAGGAAGATTTCTGTTCAAAGTATTTTTATCTGCGGTTCTGTTGCTGCAGTTGAAGGAGGCCACACATTGGTTAAGAGGCTTTAGCAGCATGTTTTGGGGAAGACGAGCCGATTCTCAAGAACCACCTAGACTGTTAGATCTACAGTTCACAACTCCCGACATTTCTTCGTACTCACTTAGCAGGAAGATCTGCAGCACCAGTCTCTCCTGCTGTGTCTCTAGTGAAAACCTTACATCTACAACATAGTTAATCTTCACTCCCCACCGCCGCTTCCTGGTTTGACGACTGTGATTACATGCTGTTACCAAAGGAATGTTATATTTCTGTCTGCCTCTCAGCTTCCCTCCTTCCTTAAAGATGAACTGAAAATAATCCACAGACTGAAATGAATTATTCATTTCTTTTATTTAGTTTCCTCTCCAAAGCAACCAAGAGGGTTCCTTCTCCCCTCGTTGACGTGTTTTCATCTGTTATTAGTCCTTGATCAGGGGCCAAAGTGCATTACTAAACAGATGCATGTCAGAACAATATCCATCACAAACAAGTAGGGGAAAGTAGTTTTAAATGTTTAAAACAAAATAAACCACACCCGCCGCTCATCGTATGTTTAAACTGAGGTAATAAATTAGCTTGAAACAGCAGTAAACCATCATCATCATCATCATCATCATCATCATCATCATCGTGTGTTGTTACATCAGAAACTTCCCCGCCGCTCTCGATAAGCAAATTAGCTGCTAATCCCTACAAACATTTTAAGATGTTTATTTGATAATTCATTAAATAATCCAAGTTCATGTAGCAGACGAAGAGCTGTTCACATGTGGCTCGAGTCTAGGTTTTAACATGTGCTAATTTATTTCTTGGTGGCTCCGTTTTTAAGTGCCGTTCTGTGGTTTACTTGGAGTTGAAGGAGGCCACGCGTTGGTTCAGAGGGTTTTCTGGAGACTTTGTCCACTCTTTCTTCAGCTGCTGCTTTAGCTGCGAAAGACGCATATTGGGGTTCTCCATTTTAAGCCGAGGCATGTTTAACTCTTCAAATGCGGCATAAGCAGCTTTCATACGGCGCTCAGGATGACGATCCAGATCTTCCTTAGTGCTGGAACAAAACACACACACACACACAAAAACAATGATCTTAGATTCACACTGCAGCTCAATGACAGCGAATTTACGATTTTTCAAATGTCTCGTCATCTTCTCTCCAGGTCCGGGTCACAGGGCACCAGGAACATGCCAGGAACACCACCGTAGGGAGGCATCTGGAACAGATGCTCGAGCAGCGGCTCTACCGGGTGACAGGGCTCCTCACCCTATGTCTAAGGGAGAGCGGAGGGAACTCATTTCGGCCGTTTGTAACCGGGATCTTGTCCTTCCGGTCGTGAGCCAAATCTCATGATGATATCATGTTTTTGTAGATAATAAATGTATGGTTTGTACAGTTCTATTAGTTCTGATTCCTTACTGATCAATCATAAGCTTTTGGTCCAGAGATGTACTCAGCGTTTTTACCGTGAGCTGAGACACTGTGACATTTTGCTTAGTCATTGCTTTTATTATTCTCTTATTCTCTTTTCCGTTATTGTGACCCTGTAACCACCCCTTGTTTAGGTTAAGATAACTCAGAGTTTTTCAGTGTGTTTTTGCAGTCATTCGGTCAGAGTGTGTAACAGCACAGCGTTCCGTTCTGGTGTTCCGCTGCTCTTCTCTCTTTCTCTCTCTCTATGTGATGCTTTGCGTCTCCATATGCAAAAGCAGACAAAAAACACAGAGTCTTCTGTCGTTCTGTCCTCCGTTGTTTTCTTTGATGTGATTCCAACTAATCGTAAAGCAGCCGAAGAAACGCGTACAATATGACCAATGAGTGGACCGTATGATGTCACATGACTATTATTTAAACCAGACTGATTTGTGTGAATGAGACGATTGCAACAATGCATCAGTTAGTCCAGACCAAATTAAACGATCGCGAGGTGTGAAAGAACCCGAAATCAATCACAATCTAATGTTGAAGGCAGCAGGATACCTGAGGACCGAGATGGCATCTTCAATGGTCCGGGCTTCCACCGCGCCTTCTTCAGGAACGATCCGATTGACATTCTCTTCAAGTGGCACATCCAAGTGAGTCGTCTCTGACGATTTACAAGGAAACAGTTAATGATTGGAGTATGTTCATATCGTAAAGGCTTTTACACATCAGGCTTTTTACCAAAATATTTCGAACCAATACTCGTTAGTGACCCCTTTACATCAACGCCGTAATATCGCAGTGCGAACCCGGAGGGGGAGGGGGAGATTGAAACACTGATGTCTGCTGCTAGGCTACAACAACTCTGAAACCTTCCGTCAGAGCAATTAATCAGTAATCTGGATGCATATTGTGTATTGTAGAATTTTAAAGATTTGTGACACAAACAAGGACAACGACCTGAAGGAGAATCACTGAGGATCTCATCGGCATCTGAACACCTTTGTAACCTCTTTGTAGCATTGTAATGTATTTGACTAAAGTGATCGATATGTTTGCTGTCGTCTTGATGACGAATGTTTTAACAATGCATCCGAATGATTCATCTCTACAGGTCACACACACTTGGCCACCAAAGAACTGATGAAAATCTTCACCAGATGAGGAATCAAATTCTCTAAACGCAGTGACTTTTTGTACCATTCTCCCCATGTGAAGGCCTTTGGGTAATAAGCTCTACATTTACCCTTTTCCTTGATTTCTTTTACACCTTGCTTGCTTTGAAGGTTCTCCTCGATCTGGGCTCGAGTGACTTTACAGGCAGCTTCTTTTGCCTGTTTCCCCTTTAACTTGGAATCTTCTTCCTCAAAGAGCCTT